AGACTAGGCTAGCCTTGAACTCACAGAGATCTACCTGCCTCTGCCTCCCAAGTACTGGGATTAAAGGCCTATGCCACTACATCTGGCTAGATAGACCTATTTTAAAATAATATTTGCAAATGATTTCCTGTGTGGCTTTGAATGCAAGGTGGAGCTTGGTGAGATGGCTCAGCAGGTAAAGGCACTTACTGCCAGACCTGATGACCTGACCCACAGGGTAGAGAGAGAAAACTGACTCCTTTGCACCCTTGCTGTAGAACAAATGCACTCTTCCCCCACTAATAAAGAATGTTAATAGGGGAGCCAGGCCCTGGTGGCGCACACCTTTAATCCCAGCACTCGGGTGGCCGAGGCGTGAGAATCTTGGTGAGTTCGAGACCAGCCTAGTGAGTTCCAGGACAGCTACAGGGAGACCCTGTCTCAAAAAAAAAAAAAAAATGTTAATAGGGATCTGAAGAGATGACTCAGTGGTTAAGAGCACTGGCAGAAGACTCATGGTGGCTAACAACTGCCTGTAACTCCAGGGGACCTGACACCCTCTTCTGGCATCTTCCAGTATTGCAGGATGTGGGTACACTTGCATATCTGCAGACAAAAATCATATACATAAAAAACACATAAATCAAAAAATTTTAAATGTAATACATTTTTAAAGGTATACAGCTCAAGAAGAATGACACCTGAAGTTGACCTTCAGCCTCTGCATGGACACATATCTACACACACACACACACACACACGCACACACACGCATACATGTGCACGCACACGATGGCCTCTGAATTCCCCCATCACAGGGATGCCGTGCGGCTGTGCAGGATGGGAGTGAAGTGCCTAACACAACACAGCTGGCAGGCGATCGCTTCTCACAGGCCGGGTCCATATGCAGTGCCTTTTAACCAAGAATCTCCTTGAAGGAGAACTCTGTCCTACTCAGGGCTGTATCCCCAGCCCTTCTGGTCTTAGCACATAGTAGGTGTTCAATAAATACATCTTCACACAAGTGAATCAATAATAACAAGTGCTCTGGCTGCTCTGCTGCCCCAATCCAGATCCATGTGGTACCTACCAGCTCATTTGAATGTGTTGGTGAACTGAACAGCTTTGTAGAAATGGCTGTTGGTTTGTGTTTCCAATCCCACTTGAGTTTTTGACTTAAACTGAGAAAGCTACTGTGGTGGTTAATTTTATGTGTCAGTCAGCTGGGCTGAGAGATGTTCAGATAGCAGGAAGACACCATTCCTAGGAGTGGGGGGGAGGCAATTCCATAGGGGGTGTGTGAACTGAGTGAAGGTCTAGCCTCAGCTGTGCAGGGGCTATCACCAAGACCAGGGCAAGCTCTGAGCATGAGATGGGTCACCCATCTTCTACTCTGGGACACTCAGGGCTTCTGTTCTGGTGTCTTCAAACTTTAGAGTGAGACCCACACTATCCCCTTTCCCTATCCTGGTGTTCAGGCCTCTGGCTTAAACTGGAGCTGTACCACTGGCTTGCCCAGTCTCCATCCAAGCCTTCACACTCTAGGGGGTCAGCCCCTCCTAATAAATCTCTGTATCTCCTATTGGTTCTGCTTTCTGGAGAAACTTGGCTAAGACAGAGACTTACTGGCTTGTCTCAGATCTCTCTCCAAACCCTTTGCAAAATGGGTTATTAATAGCATCTGTCAAATAATATTATTCTGAAAAGTAAATGAAGCACCTAGAAAGTGTTCACTTTTGTGTCCTGCTCTGAGCCTCACTTTCCTCATCTGCGAATGGGTATTTGCTCAATCACTCATTTATTCACTCAACAAACACAGTGTTCAGGTACAAAGCATTATGGTTAAGACTTGGGGAAGTCACAGAAGTGAGCAAGCTCCAGTTCTTGCCATGAGGGTCTTTGTGTGTGCTGGGGCACAGAATGTTGTTAGAAATAATCCAGAAAAGAGCCATAGTACGTGTGGGTCTTCAGGGGCTGGAGATGTGGGTGAGGGCACCTCAGGGTCCTTGGGATCATGGAACTCATAGCATGGAGGGGGGGATCACCAGCCTTCTACTGATCTGAAATGGACTTGTCCCTTGCAGATCCTAGGTCTATATAGTTAGGGTCCTTGTGTGGCCGACCTTAGCCCCTGGCTCACAGAGCACTGCCAGGGACTAGTTGAAGAGCTTGCTTCCAGACATCTTGCTTCCCACATCCTCCCCTTTTCTAGGTCCTACTTTCAGGAGATTGGCCAGTGACCCCTCTACATTCAATGCAGAACAAAGCTGAAAGAGCTGAAACTAAAGGTTAGGTCCCTGCCTGGTTCTCTAAACACATGCCAGTGGTTTGAGAAGCTCGGGCAAAGGAGTTGCAGGGGAGACCGGACAGGCGTCTGGGCTCCTGCATCCAAGGGTCACATGCTTTATCTCTCATGTTCATAGCTCTCTCCAGAGAACTGACTCTTGCCACCCAAACTCTTGAGAGACTGAAACATTTGCAATAGAAATTTACATTTAAGCTTGGTGGATTGGGAAGGATTACTCATCTCCAGTGACCAAAATATTTGCACCTGTTACCCACAGCAGGCTTTTCTTTTCAGTTAAAAGAAATTTATATGCCAGAGGTATTTAAATGTCAGGAGTGGGTGTCCTGGCAGCGGCCTGGCCGGGGGTAGAAGGATGGCTGAGTCCCAGTAACCCATCGGCAGTAGGCCTCAAGGAAAAAGCTAGATTTATGAGGCACAAGCCTGCCTGAGCTGCCTCTTCCGTCGGGAAAGGTTTCCCTGCAGTATTTTGTCTTGTCAACGCTGCATTTCATTTTAAATTGCAGCTGAAAGCAGATATTTTCCCTCTTGCCTATTACACCTCTTAATTTGTCTCTCCCTCTCCTGTTATTTGTCGCCATAAAGTGTTTTGCATGAGAGACCCACACAGCATAGTGTGGCTTTGCCCGGGGGGAGGTTTAACAGCAAGGGAAGATGCCGACTAAATCCAAGGATGCCGGTGCCTTGGAGATGGGACACACGTGTCTGAGAACACATGCCTGGCTGTGTGTACATGTGCGGTTTGTGGAGGTGTCTGTGGGTATGTTTGTGCACAAGCCAATGTTTGTGTGATATGTGTATGTCTGTGTATACTTGGGCATGATTGTTTGGGTGTCCATAGTTAAATAAAGTGCATGTTTGCATGCAAGTACACACCCACACACCAGGGTGTATGCATAAAAACACAAATGTGCACGTAGACACGCTGGCGTCTAAGTACACGCATGTATGTCCTACAATGTGTGTGACCTGCGCACATTCCAGGTTTGTACCTGTCTCTCTTTCCCTCCTCTTGCTTTTCAGGTTATCGTGTCTGGCTAACCCCATCCAAGGGCTTCGGCCGGGTTTTGGGTTACGGGAAAAGGGAGCCACTGAGCGGTTGTTTTTGAGGGCCACTGGAAAACACTGCTTTAGCCAGACCTAACCTCGGCCACAGCTTTCTGGTTTGGTCCAGCCATCCCCATCCCCCAGCCTAAGACAGAGGCACTATCACGGCTGCTCTGAGCTCTGAGCATCCCGGGGGCATCCCGGGCTGCTGACAACCTGACAATCTCCGCCTGGCATCGTGATGGTCCCCCAACGGTGGGCAGGGCCCTCCAGGATAATCCTGTTTCCAGCCCCTTCCGGGGGGAGACAGAAACCGAGGCTGGTGTCTCGGTCTCTCCGTGTCCAGCGAATGCTGGGCAGAAACCAATGGGCGACTGTGGCCCAACCGGGGATCCCTCGGAGGCAGCCAATGACCTGGCTCCGCTCTGCACCCCGCCCTCGCCACCCGCGCGGAGCTGGACCACTGGTGCTGCTGGGATGGGGAGCGCGGCGCGGGCTCAGGGAGGAGAGGCGTGGCCTGGAGCCTGGGGCCCCTCCCCACCCGCGCTCAGCCCGTAGGCCCGGCTGCGGCGCCGGAGCGCGGGGCGCGCGCAGGTGGGCGTGGCCGGAGGGCGTGGCCCGGGGAGGCGGGG